GTGAATTGATTTGTCATGCACTTGTGGCGCCGATGATTTCTTCAGATTCTTCAAAAATAGAGATTTGGGGTGTACGAGGAGGGGAGGGGGGGATTCCCAAAGTAATGTAAAACTATGGAAATGGAGAATGCTTTGAGTATCGAAGCAAAAGTTGCTATTATCAACAAAGGGTAATAGAAAATCGCGGTTATGAGAAAATAAGGAAGTTCTTGAGTTGTGGAAATACGAATACGTAGTCGATCAAAACCAAGGTCGGCAGCGGACTCTATGGCTTCGCGTTTCCATGAATGTTCAGCTCTCTACATTGTCTGTTAGCAGTGATTTCGCCGTATTTTATAACGTGATCTGTGTTTATAGTTCTCGCGTGCTTTTATTTTACTATGAAATGATTTAACACAGGTAATACTCAAGTTGCTTTTTCTTGCATTGTTCTGCAATGTCCGAGAAGGTAGCATCACTTGCCGTCAAACCAGACATCTCGAAGCCGCGATGGGATCAAAGGACATTTGAAGGTATCTGTCAATTGCAAACAAATACGTAATGCATTGTATTTGATGCCAGTGATGAATATTTCCTTAATCTCCCACAAACTTAACACAAAATGCCAATTCTATTCCAACTTTCATTCCATTTTCATTCTTAGAACTTATTCTGAGTTATTGGTCTTTAGTTGAGATGGATATGGCATAGGGGCCCACATGTTTAGATAAATGAAAGTTATGATTGAAAAACGGAATCATTTATCACCACCCTGGTATTTGCGCCCAACCGCTTGCAATTCTGCAAGAAAACAGTGGGACACCCAAGAAGACTTTCTCTTGGGGTAACCCCTCAACTTATTAGAACATATCATAACTGACGTTAAAGCTACTCCAATGTGGATTGTTTTCAGGACGTGCTCGGCATTTTTTCACAATAACGAACCCTCTGAACATCTTGGCAAGCAACGCAACTCTTGAAAAAAGCAAAAAAATTGTCACCGATTACAGGTAGGTGGACATCGTCGTAATGTGTGTTTACTCTGGCCATTGTTTCAATCCCTTCAGAAATGGAACATATGACAAAGACCTGACAGTAGATGAGCTTTGGGAAGCGAAACATATCTATGATTCGGCTTATCATCCAGATACCGGAGAGAAGATGTTTATTTTGGGAAGAATGAGTGCTCAGGTATGTACTGAAAGCAGGAATTTTCTCAAAAATTTCAGCAATCCTTGAAGCTCAGCTGCGGGCTCTTCATTCTTATCTTACTTCATTTCATTAAGTGCCTTATCTTGGTAACTAGATGACCCAGCTGCCTCGAATGATAGTAGGGTAGTAAGTTAGGTGCTTCATCGATATGGAGGTCAATAGGCCGAATTCAAATTCTCGTAGTCAGGCCGCATATCAATGAAAGAGGTATCAATGAAAGATGATTCTTTAATACTCTCCGCCCACCCGATTGCAAAACGCAAGAGCTTGGTGCATTTGCCTTTAGGTATCGGTTAGAGCCCCCCTCTCCATATTTGAAAGTTTCCCCTTTTTACAGGTGAAACTGTACACGGTTGGCCGTTCAAATTTCTTGATTTCATGGATTGCCAAGCTCCCAGATAGAATTGCTTGTGATGTTATCCGTAGATGAAGTTTTAACAAAAGAAAGCGGATGTGTTGTTGGAATTAGGACCATTTAATATTGTTTCAGGTACCATGTAACATGACAATCACAGGAGGAATGCTGACATTCTATCAAAAGTAAGGAATTTGAATGCAAGTTATAATGTTTTTATAAAACTTTTCAATTTTTTCTATCTGTGCTGGTGATAGATTTTCTCAAGCTCGAGGAGCTAGCTTGTATGGAAATCTGTGAAAGAATACATAGCAGCCGGGGGCTTCCATAGCTGATCGAATTAACATGAAAATGAAATGCAACTCGCAAGAGAGGGTGGCAGTTGTCAGA